ACCCCACCCCCATGACCTCATCTAACCCTAATCAGCACCTAAAGGCCTCACCTCCAAATACATTGGGGACCAGGGCTTCAACATATGAATTGGGGGGGAGGGTAGGGGACAACGCAAGCATTCGGCTCATAGCAACGAAGGAAAACTTGCTTTCAAGCTCACATAGCTGTTGACAGAATTCAGTTCCTGTGACCTGTTGGGCTGAGGGCTTCAGCTGGTTGTTGGCCAGATGATGTCCTCTGTTTTTTTTTTTTTTTTTTTTGGTCATCATGGCTGCCCCAACATGGCCCCTTCTTTCATCAAACCAGTAAGAGAGAGAGTCTGCCAGCAAGATGGGTGTTGCCAGCTTATGTAACAGACAAGTGACATCACATCACCTTTGCTGTACAGTGTTGGTTGGAAGCAGGTCACAGTCCCACGCACACTCAAGAGGAAAGAATTACATGAGGGTGTGAACACCTAAAGGCACGGATAAGTGGGGACACCTCAGAGTCTGTCCGCCAACACTTCTCGAAGGGAGATGTGGGTTTCTTATCTGAGTGTGTTTCAAGAAGTATTAACGGATTTTTCATCCCCGCGAGGCCTCAGGTTCAGGGGTTCGTTTTTGCCCACAGTTAGGTGAAAATCATGTCTGCTCACCTGAGTCGGAAGGGTAGGGTGGGGACAGAAGCAAACACAGTCTCAGGAAATGTTCATCATGCGCCAGCCTGGTGATTTGCTAAGCAAAACTCAAGTTGACGTGACATAAACAACGTCTGCTGCTTCCAGGGGCCTGCCACAATATTTTCTTTTAAGTGCTACTTGTGCCTGAAATACGCTTCTGGTTTTGAAATGTGGTTCTCAGCTCTTGCTCAACTACAAACCACTCGCTCCCTTATTACGAGTCCCATTTTTTCTATCCTATGATATGGGTTTTCTAAGGGCGTGATGTCAGCCCAGATGGGAGACATGCCAGAGTAGTGGCCTGGAGGCCTCTCCTTGGAGAGGGTCAGTTCGGATGACAAGGGCGAGCTTTTTCCCTGCAGACCTGGCATCTCACGGACGGCAGCGCCAGCTCTGGGTTAACACCTGTGCTCTCCGGAGCCCTGACATCTGTATGCTCATTACACTTTTTATTTTTTTCAGTTGTTAATGTTACAAGTTTCTGTTGCAACAACAGTGACTCCAAAAGTAACATAGATTCTCTTTCTGATACCGTGATATTAGGGAAAAAAATCAGTAATTTTTTTCTGCAATTCCTCTCCATCTCTCACCCCACCTGGAGGTATTCATGGTCAACAGCATGACATGGAAACTTCCATGTGGGGGGTGGACTTTCTTCAAATTCTGAGAAATATCTAACTATATCTATATCTATAGATATAAATCTCCATACAAGTATATCGATAAATACGCTTCTTTATTTTTTACAAACACAGGAATCAGCTAAAGATACTGTTACACAAGATGAATAAATTCTAGACATCTGCTGGATGACATAGTGCCTAGAGCTAATAATACTATACTGTGTACTTAAATTTGTTAAGAGAGTAGATGTCATGTTAAGTCTTCCATCACATATGCAAAAAAAGCAAAGGGACACAGGACACTTGAAGGTGATGGATATGACTGTTATCTTGGCTGCGGTCCTGGTATCACGTATGTCCAAACTCACCAAATTATATACATTAAATATGTAAAGTTTTTTGGTATATCAGTTATACCTCAATAAAGCAGTATAAGCAAAACCAAAAAACAGGACACCAACTATTCTCACTTAATTGTATCTCATTATCACCCCTTCAGATCAACCAATCATTCTTTTCAATGACTGCCCATGATGCCATGGATCCGCATTTACATCCTGGCCAGTGGATGTTGACAGTGTTGTCGTCAGATGAACTGCATGAGAGGCGAAGCGGGTGAATGTGTGTTATTCCAGTTTTAGAATGGGAGAGAGACTGAGGCACAGAGAGGTTCTGTGGTGGGTCCCTGGCTCCCACCCATTCCTGGTAGGTGTGGGGAAGAGAATCCATCCCGCACTGCTCTTGCGTCATGCTGCCACAAGGCGGCACTGTTGAAACTTGCTCCTGCGCAGCCTCTGTTGACACACAGTCCTTTCCTTTGCTAACGCTAGGATCCCGGGCTCTCTTCGGTTTCAAAGTCCTACTAACCCTTTTTCTGCCACTGATCATCATGATCTATCCCTTACAGATCTCTCTAACTGAATAACAGAGAGGTGAGTTGGAAGAGTTTAACTTCTTCTTTCCCAGGAAGCCCTGGGCTCTTTGTGCAAATCCACTCTCTCCCCAGTGGCCAAGTTTGCACAGCGAGGTCTCAGTTACATTTACTTGGCTCTCATCAGGGGCCTTCTTATCTTCCCTTTACATATTTAGGGGAGACCGGAGAGTGATTTTTCTCAGAACAAAGACTCCTGACTTCCAGGTGACTTCCAGGTGACTTCCAGGCATGAAATTCATACAAAAGTTAGAGAAATCCAAACACAGCTTTAAATATTCATGAACACGAGTGGCTTAAATCAACATAAAACGTCTTGATTATTCAGACACATGATTGGCTTTCCTCATTTAAGAGTCAACAGGATCCAAACAGAGGATTTTGCTCCGGAGTTTCTGATTCTGCAGTCTGCGCCAAACTGGTTTTACAGCTCCGCGGCACCCCCAGATTTCAACCAGACATGACAGTTTTGAGATTCGGGTGTAGTCTTCCAGGTTTCAAAACGAAACAAACAAAACAGCAAGCAGGCGTCCACACATGAGTATATACCCTTAGCTATTTTGTGCGATGAGGAAGGGGGACATAAATGGCACTAGAGTACATTCTGTAAACTGCCTTTTTCTAAAGTCCATTCTTACTTGGGGCACAGGGTGCGGCACCTTTGTAGGGTGAAGTGCGGACAGTGGCGGGGGAGGGAGGATGACGATGGGCTCTTTCCTAAGATGTCACAGGAGAGTGCCACTTCATTCTTTGGGGAGGACAGGAAAATCTGTATGGGCAGACTTCCCAGAAAATGGCCTGTGGTGGGGTGGAGGGAGGGGGTAGTGTGGTCTTATTTTTATTTTTTTTAACGGGTAGGAAAGTAAGTGTTCTTTTGTGGCACTTCTTAAAAAAGAAACGAAGGGACGGCCCTCGTGGAGAAAAGAGAACATTTAATCATTTTATCTGTGTTAATTCTAGATGGTTCCAATTTGCCTGCGTTCTAATAGGTTATCTTTGTGTTTGTGGGCTTTGTAGGTGATTTCTGGGGAGAAAAAAAAAATCACACTTATAATACAGTCATCTTGTAAGAAATCCAAAGAATGTAAAAGTTTACGGGGTAAGAGGTGAAGGAGGCCTTTGACCCGCTCTCCCGGGCTACTTCCCTCGGGAGAGGCAAGGACTGTTACTTTGGTGTGGATCCTTCTGTTCCCTGGCTACTCCGTGAGGGCGGGGACCAGCCGCACCCGCGTCGCCCAGAGGCAAGTTAGAAAGGCAGAGTCTCGGGCTCCACCCCCGACCCACACAGTCAGAACCCGCATTTAACGCGATCCCCAGGTTGACGTGTGAGCAGCACCGGCGTTCACGGTGTCCCTGTGTGTCGTCTTACACATTCGTATCCGCGCAAACGCACGTGCTCCTGGGCTGAGAACGCGGCCCTGGACTATGGCTGTCCTCAGAAGAGCGCGTGTGCTTCGCGTGGCCCACACGCTGGCAGCGTCAGCACCCCCGGGGGCGTGAGACCTGCTTCCTGAACGCAGCCGCTCGGGAGGGGTCCGGCCAGCCGTGCTCTAACGAGTCCCCCAGGGGTGCTGCTGCACCGCCAGTGTGAGAGTCGGAGCTCCTTCTCCGTCGCTCCTGCCAGGCTCCCCTCCCCCGCCGTCACCTCCCTCTCTGCCCCTCCCCCCGGCCCAGTCTGGCTGGTTCCCCGAGGACGCCCCAGACCCGGCCCCCCCAGGCGTACAGCGAGGGCTCCGTGGACCGGGCCTTTCAGTTAGGAGTCTCAGCCCCCTTTAGGGGAGGCTGGTTTTCAGACCCTGCAACACGCCGGCTCCTGGGGGTCGGCTGAGGTCGTCGCGAAACCTCCGTCCCTGCCTCCGAGAGGCCCGTGGTGCGACGCAAACAGGTGCCGTGGGACGTCGCCGCCGCTGCAGAGGCCCGTCCCTGGCAGCTGCCGCGCGCCCCATTGCGCCGCGGGGCGAGCGGAGGCCCAGAGGGAGGGCTCCGTCGTCACGTCACGTCAGGGCGGCTCCGGGTCGGTTCCTCTCCCGCTGGCGCAGGAGTGACAAGGGATTTCCCTCTGCCGAGCGCGGCTGTGGGCGGGCGCCCGGCCGCGGCAGGGCTCGCCGCAGAGGACAGACGGGACTTCGGGGTGCAGAAAAAGCCTAGCGGGTCCGAGTGTCTTGCCCGAAGGGTGTTGGGCCTTCGCGGGGGACACGGTTTCCAGGTGACCCCTGGGGCACTGGAGTCTGCGACCCCAGCCGGCCCGGAGCCCTCCACCTCCCCCAGAGCACCAGGCGCCCAGGGAGCTCGAAGTCCCCGCGCCAAGTGTGTTGGTGTCGCGGCCGGGCCACCCGAACTGCGAGCGCGGGAGGAGAGTTTGCAGCCCAACTGGTGAAAACAGTTGGTCCAGTGGCAGGCGGGGGCGAGGATCTGATCGCGGAATCAGGGAGATGCACACTGAGGGTGAACACTCGGCAGGAATGGTCCCCACTCCTAAAAAGTCTCCCCAGCAAAGGAGACTCAAGTGGCAGGCACGGACGGGGTTCGAACCCGTGATCTTCGGTTTACGAGACCGACGCCTTACCACTTGGCCACCGCGCCTGCGTTACGGAGGCTGTTCGGCGATCCTCTATCCTGGCGCTGCTCCCATGAGCCGGTCTCGCGGGAACGAGCATGAGCACGAGCAGGAGCGTGAGCACGAGCGTGAGTACGAGCGTGCGCGCACCCGCCGGGCCCTCGCGCCCCGCCCCCTCGCCGCGGCCAGTCGCTTAAGGCGGGGCGACCGCGGGCGCACGCCGGCCGCTCCCCGCGGACCAGACCGCCCCACCCGGCTCTCCCTCGGCCCGGTACCCACGAGCGCGGCCTCCCCGGAGTCTCCCCACCAGGGCCTCGTCAGGAGGCGTACCCGAAACCCGGGAACGGAGGGATGCTTCCCGGCGTCTCAGGGCCTGGGGTTCGAAACCCTGCTCTGCCGGAGTCCGTCTGCGGCCTCGGAGCCTCAGTTTCCCCTCTAGGTCGAGGTACCCGGGAGGTGAAGGAATGGTGGCAGTTCTCGTTACTAGCCCCACCCCACCCCCGACCCCGGGCGGTCCACGGCTGCCCTGCACCCCGCAGGCACTCTGCAAGGGTTGTTGAATGAATACGTAAGTTTTCTGAAATTAAAAGCCCAAAGTTCCCCTTCCTCCCGACTGCCCCTGTAGCCCAGGGTGTGAGCGGGTCCTGGGACCAGCAACATCGCCCGGGAGCGTGTTAGAAATGCGGCTTCTCCCGCTCACCCAGCAGTCTGCGTTTTAACTAGTCCTCAGGGTGATGCTGATGCGCAGGAAAGACTGAGCCCCACTACTCCAGATAATTGATGCGCATATTCCTATTTATAGATTAAAATGTGCTCTTTTATTTTTAGCCAAATGGGATGACTTTACAGTTCTCTGCCATTTGATTTTTCATGTATTAATTTATAATGTGTTTACTGCAATGACTTGTGGTACATAATAAAATATAATCGTAATAAATAGTACATATTTGATAAATATAATCAACAATTTCTATTCATTAATATGATGCACAATATAATATTGTATATAGCAAATTATATATACTGCAGTATATACTATATTGTTATGCACGGACGGGTTACTGTAGTCTCTCATAGCTGTATGGTTTTCCATTGAGTGGCTGTATCACAGTTGATTTAATCAGTTTCGGGCCTTGGGCCTTGGGTTGGTGTGCAGTTTTTTTTGAGGCACAGAACATTCTGCTATATGCCTCTTTGCTGTCTGGCACCAGTGATGCCCCCTATGGAGACATTTATTTAAAATGTCCACAGCCCACCAGGCAGGTGTGTAGGCAAATAGGAAACTTAAAAAATGCCAGGAAGTTCTTTTCACCACGTTGTTTTAAATGTCAAGGTTTGGGCAGGTGATTGGAAAAGGCCCTGACATATACCCTCAAACACTGGGGCAGAGGCCCTGAGACACTGTGCCCAGAATGCTTGAGATCTGCATGCAAACCTCACTGCAGCTCCTGAATTAAAAAAAAAAAAAAAAAAATTTGAACATTTTTAAAATTAAAACACGCATTACTGAGCATTGCTTCCGACTAGTCGATGATAAAATTGGTTCTGTTGTCTCCCTCCTTTTTTTGGTGTTCATTGAATTGTTGAAATTATGGTGCAGAAGTGACATGGGCTTATAGAAAATGAAAGAAATTAGCAAATCAAAATCACTTGGAAGCTGAGCCTAGAAGTAACTGGCAGGTAGGTGGGAATCAAAGTCTAACAGGTGCTTCTTCCAGCTTTGTCTTCTGAGGGACGGGAGGGAATTGAATGATGGAGGTGTGTCTGTACCTTGATGGGCAGGTGGGATGCCCAAGGTATCCAGGGTCTGGGGGTGCCTAAGAGAGGCTGGTCCTCCAACCTTCTGTGAGCCCTAAAATAGCACAGGTGCTGAATGGTCTGACCTTACTTATCTCACAGGTATACAGAGTCCTGGGAGGCCATAGATCTTGGACACCAGGATGGAGGATCGGCCTGTCCTGGCGTCTTAGAGTGATGCCTGTGCAAGGTAGGCCCTTAGAAAGTATTACAGAAAGAGTTAACATGCAAGGTTCCTTTCACCGTGGTCCTCCATGTGGTTCTGGGGGGCCTCCTTGGTCGGTGCCTGCCAACCACAGAGCCAGGACAGTCCTGGTATTGAACTTCCCTGATCAAGCAGAAACTTTCAGCTTCTCAGTGATAAGGAGTTTTCCATTGTTCACTTTTATGGAAAGAAATGTTTCCTTCGCCCATACAGAGTCTCTGGGACAGATGGGTCCCAATGGCACACAAATAATTGTGATCCAATCCCAGGTGTCCCAAATGCTGGGACAAGAAACCAGGGTTGGGTGAAGCAGACGTTGCTTTGAGGAGTCTAGGAAGGTGACGTTTTAAGTGAGAAAGTGTCAAAACTGATCTGGTGACAAAGCCAGGTGACATGATGAAATACTTTTGATCTTGTTTCCTCTGTGTAATTAAGTTGCCTAGATCGAATAATTTATAAGCATCTACATTTCTTTTGTGTCGAAACTTCCTCACTTTTTTCCGTTTTAGAAAAAAAATGTTAGTTTTAAATCTTTTTTTCTTCTGCACCTCTGTGTCTGTCCCCAAAGCAGGAATTCCTAATGCGCACTCAAGACCAGGAGGTCTGTGAATTCCCCAAGAGCATGTAAAACGGGTGTGTGTGTTCTTGAGAAAGGGACGTCACCATTTTGATCAGGTTTTCAAACAGATCTCCTGAAGGTCTGAGAAAGTTTCAAGCACTTTTCCTTCTTCACTCCGTCTCTTGCAGTCCGAGACGCGCTCAGACCTCACCAAGCTGCAGCGTCGGAGCTGTTTAGCCACAGCGGAGGTTGTTTGGGAAACTAAGATGTCTCAGAGACTCACCCTTTCCAGGGTGGCTCCTGCTGTGGCCGGTGCCTCCATCCCAGCCACCCTTGCCCCCGCCTGCCGCCGCCTCCTTGCAGAGCGTTTAGCAGCTTTCTCCTGTTTCCTCAGTGGCGCCTTAGCTGTGGCCTCACAGGCTTCTCTCTCTCTCTCATGCGGATGCAAACTGACCCGGCAGGAGGGGGCGGTCTGGAGTCCAGGGTTCTGCCTTCCTGACACCCTCCCAGGCCACGCTGAGGCTGCTGGTCCCTGCCCTCACTTTGAGAACTACCCCTCTAAAGTATTCTTGGAGGAGTTCATTTGTATGGGGGGCGGAGGGGACCCAGCCTTGGATATTTAGGTCACCTGAGGTAATGATGACAGCAGGCTTTTTACTAATTACCTAAATCAAGGCTTTACCTCAGGAAAGCTCTAAGAGCTGCTCAGAGCATCCCAGTGAGCACAGGGTTAGCGATGGCCGGTTTAGAGCCCAGGACCCAAGGCAGAGAGCAAGGCCATCCCGTCATGCTCGATGTGACCCACTCAGTGGTTTAGAGCAGGCCGGACACCTCAGATGCTTGGTGGGGCCAGGCACGGTATGGAAACCTGGTGCCACTGTGCGTGCCACCGGAAATGTATGGGTTCCGGTGACCTCACACTTCCACAGCTTGTCTTTTTAATTTTAGCTCTTCTAGTGAGTGTGCAGTGGTGTCTCGTTTTAATTTGCATTTCCCGGCTGACTAATGATGTGAAGCACCTTTCCATGTGCTTGGTATCTGTTTGTCGCATCTTTGGTGAAGTGTCTGCTTACATCTTTTGCCCATTTTTATAGATTGTTTGTCTTCCTGTTGTTCATCAGAGTTCATTGTACATTTTGTCAGATGTACCATGAATATTTTCTCCTCTGTGGCTTGCCTTTTCATGTTCTCAGTGGTGGCAGTCAAAGTACTGAAGCTTTTAATTTTGATGAAGTCCACTTTATCAGTGTTTTTCTTTTATGCATCATGCTTTTTGTGTGCTGAGAAATCTTTGTCTACCTAGGTCACGAAGGTTTTCTCCTAGAATTTTTATCATTTTGGCTTTTACATTTAGGTCTGTGTTCCGTCCCGAGTTAATTTTTGTGTGTGGTGTCACGTAGGGCTTGCTGGTCGTTTTTTCCCATACAGATATCCAGCACCATTTGTTGAAATGATTACTCTCTCCCCATGGAACTGCGGTGGTACCTTTGTTAAAATTCAATCGACTCTGTGTGCGTGTGGTCTATTCCTGGAATTTGTGTGCGTTCCATTGATCTGTACATTTATCTTCATTCTAATTACCACAGTCTCGATTATTTTATTTTACGGAGAGTACTGAAATCAAGTATTGTGAGTCCTCCAACTTTGTCCTTTTACAAAACTGGTGCTTGTTCTAGTGCTTTGCATTTCCTCATTGATTTTTAGAATCATTTCATCAGTTTCTACAAAACACCTGCTGGGACTTTGATGGGGATTGCACTGACTCTATAGATGAGTTTAGGGGAAATTGCTGTCTTGAGTTCTCCTATCCATGAATATTTCAGTTGTTTGTTGCTGGGGCCTACGAGTCTTGGAGTCTGAATTAATTTCTTTGGCATTTCATTCTGTGAGTTTCCTGGGATTTTCAGTGGGAGAGTAGCTGCAATGTTTGGTAGCTGTGCTCACCTCCTTTTGGCACTCCATCCAAGCACAGATCCCTGCCACGTGTAGGACCGCTGTCGGCCCTCGGGGGACGCCCCAAGATGAGGGACGCAAGATGTGTTGCCTGTGCAACAGCTGAGACAAAGTTCAGCCAAAGCGAAGGTCTCCCAGGGTAGAGACGCGATTATTGTGTTGACACTGGGAACAGATCATCTCAACCATACATAATAAGTTGTAAAGACGAAAAGTAAATTTTTCTGCAGAAAAATGACATCGGTATGTTGTCATCAAAGCAATCTTAGAATCAACCTCTAACCTGGGAAAGTATGTTTTCGTTGGTTCGTTTCAGAGCCGGAATAAGATCAAGCTGACGGCTGTGAATAATACAAAATATCGTTCTTTTTTCTCTTTTGATTTAGCAGATAAACTAAAAAGGTCAACCAGATTATCTGAGGTGCAGATTAGCATGCAGAGATGACCACGGTTTTATGTATATAAAAAGCGGTAGACAGGACCAGAATAAAGTTGTCGTTCATCATTCGTTCTGCATTTAGCGGAAGACGCCTAGTGTCCCAGCCCTCACGGCCCTCCCTCCTCCCTCCGCGTTCTCCTTTCAGAAGGGGCCACTCTTATGAGTTTATTTTGGATCTTTCCAGATCTTTTCCTTTGCTTTTGTGCTGATACGTGTTTATACATAGGAAATGTAGTGTTTTGGGTGGGATTTTTCTCCCCAAATGGCATCATCTTGGACATGTTTGTTGACATGTCTTTTTTTTTTTTTTTTAAACTCTTCAAAGCATCAGAGGTTCAGCCCTATCCTTCCCTATGACTCTAACTCTTTTCGTTTTACTGCTGCGTTCTAATCAGCTGGGTGACTGCGACAGGGGTTTTAACAAATCATCTAATGCCAACCACCTAGGTTGTTAATGACTTTTCTTCATTACAGACACAGCCTCTCCTGCATCTTTGCATGCGCCTCCCTATGCGTATGTGTGGAGGGTTCTTTAGCATAGGTGTCGGGGTCATTGCTTTTCTAAGATATCTTTTCTGTTGTGTTGTAGCCTTAAGCAAACAGTTCTGCAAATACCTGCTTGCTTGTGAGTGAGCTGGCACTCGGTGCCACTAGCTGACAGGAGCAATATTAGCTTTTGCCCAAGTCTCTCTTTTTTAACTTTGTGCGTAAGCTTGTATGTGCAGGGTTAGTTGGGATGAAGCAGACAATCAGCCACAGACTTTGTGTGACTGCATGGCCGAGGTCTGCCCAACTGGTGGAGATTTGTCGTGGGTACGAGTGTGTCGGTGTCAAACTGAGCAAATTCAAACTGAGCAAATTGGGTTCTTTTCAGTTTTATGAGCTTGCAAGAGTCAATATGTGAATGCCCAAATCGGTTATCTCTTCACATAATACTTTATAGAAAGAGTTATCTCTTTCTATAAAGTATTACCAGCATCTCACACATGAATGGCACATGGTATGTGTTTCTCAATACAACAAAGAATCACTTATTTCCTTTTGATTTATTAGCATATTTGATATTTGAAAAACTCAAATCTTTACTCACATAAACCAGAAAGTCATTTTGATAGACAAATAGGTATATCATGACCTTTTGCTAGGCCTTGGATTTTAAGATCACTGTTATACAAGACACACTTGACCTGATGGGTTGCAAAGTTGTTTTTAACCAATACAAAGTCTTGATGAATTAATGCTTGCCATTGGGCCATCTTCCACAAACATGCCGTCCCCCCTTAGAAAATTTAGGAGTCGAAGCAGTGTATACACAGTTAAAGATGAAGTATATGTGATGAAGTTCAAAGTGCTATTTTAAAATGTCATTTCCCATCCTCAGACGCCAATTATCATATCCTCAGCATTTGGCGTGGGAGGCGATTATTCCCAGGGCTGTTCTTGGCAACGTGAAAAGATAAATGGGTGGAAGGACGTGAGAGCACATGTGATGATAAACTGACTTACAGAGACGAACACAGCTTTTGCAGTTTCCCCTCGTGGATTTACTTTAGTGCTGTAAAACCGTAAATGTATATGTGAAACTCAGGTGTAAAAATGTCAAACACGAAATATGACTTTTTCCTTTCTCCTCATTCTGTTACATACATGTAAGAATTTCTTTTACAGAAACATGAATAAGATTTGGTCGGAAACATTCTGTTGTTGTTCCGTCTCATTTCACGGTTCTTAAAAAGCTGTCACTGTCTTTCCTTGCGACACTTTGTCTCTGTAGCTGGTGCTTGCTGGATGTCAGCTAGATGCCCTGGAGGTGTGAATGGCTTCTCTCATGTTTACCTCCACGTGCTTGCCAGCTGCCATGGTATATTAGTGAGTGCTGTTTAATCCCGTGCTAGCTTTAAAAATTATGCAAGGAAAAATATCTAGAAAAAGTATAAGCACTGCACCCAGACTTTGGCTTGTCTCAAATAAAACCTGCTAGTTCATTCAGATAAAAACACCTGTAGAAATCCAGTGTGGCTTCTTTCTTATGAA